CGAGAGCCTGCAGGAGTTATGGGCGGGGTGTGTGGGGAGGGGGTGCGCTCTGCCATGAGGAAGTTCGGCTTAGACACGTCCCAGGGGCGTTTCTGTTACCAAAAGGTGTTTCTGGTCCCCACCTGTCGTTTTCCTCCTCTGCTTGGCTTCCTAAAAATGCTGCAGGATTTCTCAAACATGCATGAATGAGCATGTTTTTTTTTTATGAGAGTGTAACATTATAACATGATATAAAACTCAAAAATGTTGATTTTACATGATATTGCCCCTTTAAAATGTAAGATCGAATGTAGACATTATGAAGATCTGATCGAAATGATGGCTAATACTTGATTTGTTTCATTAAGCAAGTAAATCAGTTTGGAGTTAAGTCAAAGATGAATAAAAGAAACGGATTATAAAAATGAAGACGGATGCTGTTTCTGTCAACACAATGTTTGTAAAGGAGCTTACAGTAAAACACTGTGAAGTATATACACTTGAAAAATAGCTCAATAAGAATAAAAAGAATGTTCATCAAGACTCTAGTGTTTTCTAACTCCCAATTTACACTAGATTGGTCTCCACTCCGCTGCAGCCCAAGCTCCGCAACAAATACGCACCCATTCTAATCAATGACAGTATTTACACTGACTCCGCACGGCGGTGATGAGTGGATGGCGATCCGCCAAAATTATATCTGATCCTATTTTTGGCAGACGCCTGAGCTGCTCCGGAGTCAATCTACAGAGATCACATCGCACCAACAAGAAAWGRAACAAGCACAACATCCGTATTTTCCAAATRAGACAATAAGGCGGAATAATTTTTTCGAAATCCTAGCTATATTAATAAATATATGGATAAATTTCTACACAAACGCAGTCAGAATGTATCGTTCTGTTTGGGAATCAGATAGCAACGTGAAGCATATGTGTACACACATGATACACTTGGATTTTAGTTTCAAAAAGACGACAGCGATACAGTTTCAACCATAACTATTAAAAGCTTTTATATCGATGTTTTCAGCTGTGTTTGGAGTTCGTCTTTCACAGAATTAATTATTTTTTGCTTTGACTTTCACATTTATCAATGGATTTATCGTGCAATCTCCTTCCTGAACACGCTTCCTCCTCTGTCTGTTGCACCAGAGTGGAGCTGAGCGGAGCAAGGCTGTATWAATTGGGTTGCAAATGAACAGCTGYAGACTGCGCACCGCACCGCAGTGCAGCGGAGTCGCATGTAGTGTAAATACGGGGTTAGATAGTAAATCCTTAAGAAAAAAAATCTTATGTTTACCAGTGTGAATTGTTCTTTCATTTAAAMTCTTTCAATAATACTAATCAAGAAATGACTACTGTTATGGCAATATTTATTTAACAACTAATTTAACTGCCTTCCAAAAGTAGAAAGCACATTAAACAGAAATTAAATACCAAAAATACTAAATTAGATGAATATATATAAAAACAAATGTTAGTGATCTGAATAAGAAAAAAACTAGAAGAGCATTTTGCCCCATTGAAAAACGAAGAATGTGGATACCCCAACATCTACAGTTCATAATATAATCCAAAAATGTTTCAATAAATCATAATCCAAATCCTGCACCATTTTATATAACAGTGTTTTTTCAAAGTGGAGGCTGCCAGGGGGCACTAGCCTGGCTCATAATACTGGAGAGAAGATAAAAAATGCAAAAGTAAAAAAAATCTAATGTTTTAAATCATTATTGCAAAATCAAATCTGTTTTTCAGTCATTGAAATATATTTATAATATATTGAAATATTATTTAAGAATGCTTTAGAGAAGAATGATTTCTTTTTTTCTGAAAATAATGTGATCAAAGGGACATGTTAAATCAAGGTGTGTGCACTAATTAGCATCACAGGTGTTTACAACCTTGYAATCAGTCAGTGGACCTAGAGATATTCACTGCTGTTTGGTGAGATGGTGTGTACCACTGTTGGATAAATTATCRAAATACTCTTGATACAATGAATGACAAACAAGCAGCAGATCTGGTTGAGCTCTGTTTTACTTAAAGCAAGGAATTCATACAGACAAGGTACAATCATGTCAACAGAATGAACTAACTTTCTGTTCAGCTGTCAGGCTTTAAAAGAGTCTCGTTCAAAGGAGCCGAGTGTCCTCCTGTTAAACAACCATGCAATCTCCTGTACTCCCCAGGTGTTACCTCCAGTTCCTCTATCTAGGCCCACCTGTCTAATAGCAGTCGTAAACGTAACTCAACTCTATAATCTAAGTTAAAAAGTTAAGGAAGTTTAGGAAGTTAAAGATCAACAGTTGTGTCTTCACTCCAACAGCATTACTAAGCACAAGCAATTAAAAGTCATGCAAAAACAAACACAGATCAACAGCATTAATCTCTTGCAATTAAATTAACCATAAAGATTTAAATCACAATTTAACCAACAACCACACTCAACATGGACCAGAGGAAGCAAAGGAGAGTTTTCTCAGGAGATTAGAAACAAAATTATARACAAGCATGTTGAAGGTGAAGGTTATAAGACCATCTCCAAGCAGCTTGATGTTCCTGTGACTACAGTTGCACATATTAGTCTGAAATTTAAGATCCATGGGACTGTAGCCAACCTCCCAGAACATGGCCGTAGGAGGAAAATAGATAACAAGTCAAAGAGACGGCTAATACGAATGGTAACAAAAGAGCCCAGAAAAACTTCAAAAGACATTGAAGGAGAACTTCAAGCTCAAGGAACATCAGTGTGAGATCGCAGCATCCATCATTGTTTGAGCCAAAGTGGACTTAATAGGAGACGACCAAGGAGGACACCAAATCATAAAAATTCCAGACTGGAATTTGCCAAATTACATGTTGACAAGCCACAAAGCTTCTGGAAGTATGTCCTCTGGAAAGGTGAGACAAAAATAGAACTTTTTGGCAACATCAGCTGTGTGTTCACAGAGGGGAAAATGAAGCATATGAAGAAAAGAACACTGTCCCTAC